AGCAGATTCTGCTTGAGGTCTGGAGAGGAGGGAGGCAGGGTGGGCAAGGCTAAAACCTAAGCTTGGGCTAGGCAAATGTAGCTGGGGGCATAGCTAGGATAGGAGCGAGTATTCTGGCTGCAGAGAACACATGGGGCTGGAGAAGGAGCAGTCCCACGTTGGGGAGGCAAACATCTCTCTTTGGAATACAATGGCATCCCTTTATGATGCCAGTGCCAGGCACTGGGTTGAGTTTCCCTAGTGTTGTAGGATAACAGAGCTCTGTCCGCCATGACCCTGTATGTCATGACAGTAACTGCAATACAATTTGGCTCATGGTTTATACAAAAGGATCTTCTATTGCCCTAACCGGTTTGGCTCAGTGGATAGAGCGTCGGTCTGTGGATTGAAGGGTCCCAGGTTTGATTCCGGTCAAGGGCATGTACCTTGGTTTCGGGCACATCCCCAGTGGGGAGTGTGCAGGAGACAGCCTGTCTATGTTTCTCTCATTGATGTTTCTAATTATCCCTCTCTTTTCCTCCCTGTAGAAAAATCAATGAAATATATTAAAAAAAAGATCTTCTATTGACCCACTAGAACACTGAGTATAAATGTATTTTAGCCCTAGCTAGTTTGGCTCAGTGGATAGAGCATCTGCTTGTGGACTGAAGGGTTCTGGGTTCAATTCCAGTCAAAGGCACATGCCGGGGTTGTGGGCTCAGGTTATGGGCTTGATTCCCAGTAGGGGGTGTGCAGGAGGCAGCTGGTCAATGACTCTCTCTCATCGTTGATGTTTCTATCTCTCTCTCTCCCCTCTTCCCTGAAAGCAATAAAAACATTTTTTAAAAAGTATCCTATATAGTAAAGAGGTAATATGCAAATTAACCCTCACACCCTCACAAAGATGGCTGCCTGCAACCAGGCCAGCAGGGGGTTAGTGAGGGACAACCAAACGACTGAACAGCAGCAGTGTGGGGAGACCAGGCTGGCAAGTGGGGCAGTTGGGGGCAACCAGGCCAGCAGTGGGGGGTGTAGTTGTGGGCAACCAAGCTGGCAGAGGAGGGCAGTTGGGGGTGACCATGCTGGTAGGGGGGCATTTAGGAGCAACCAGGCCAGCAGGGAGGGAGCAGTTGGGGGTGACCTGGTCGGCAGCGTGGAGCAGTTAGGGGTGACCAGGCTGGCAGAGGGGGGTAGTTGGGGGCGACCAGGCAGGCAAGGAGGGCAGTAAGGGATGATCAGGCTGGTGGGTGGGCAGTTAGGGACGATCAGGCCGGCACACAGAGGCAGTGAGGGGTGACTAGGCAGGCAGGCAGGTGAGTGATTAGGAGCCAGCAGTCCAGGATTGTGAGAGGGATGTCTGACTGCCGCTTTAGGCCTGATCCCCAGAATCGGGCCTAAAGCAGCAGTCGGACATCCCCCGAGGGGTCCAGGATTGGAGAGGGTGCAGGCTGGGCTGAGGGGACCTCTCCCCTCCCCCCATGCATGAATTTCATGCACAAGGCCTCTAGTTTTAGATAAAAAAACCTCCAGTATTCAAAAACAGGACCCCTGGAATTTTAGGTCACTTTGGAGGTCACCACCCTGAGGGGAAGACCCACCTCTCTGTCACTAGTAGAGGTCAAATGCTTTTGGAGGCGAGTACATGTGACTGTCGCACCACTTGGAAAATCTTGCAGGAAGAAGAGTGTTTTTCTGGCTGACCTGAAGGGAGACTGTAATCCACGGAGACCACAGGTGGCACCTGGGGTTCTCTTCTAACGTGATGTTTTTCCTCCTCTCTCCCTTCACTGACTAGGATCCTCCAGGGGACTGAGGCCACCATGGCTCAGGAGAAGTCCCTCATCCTGTTCCCACTGCTAGTCCTGGTGCTGTTAGTGCTGGGGTGGGTCCAGCCTTCCCTGGGCAAGGAATCACGGGCCATGAAGTTCCAGCGGCAACACATGGACCCAGACGGCCCCAACAACAACTCCAACTACTGCAACCAAATGATGAGGCGCCGGCATATGACAGAGGGACGGTGCAAGCCAGTGAACACCTTCGTGCACGAGCCTCTGGTAGATGTCCAGGCCGTTTGCCTCCAGGGAAACATCACCTGCAAGAATGGGCAGCCCAACTGCCACAAGAGCAGCTCCAGCATGAAGATCACGGACTGTCGTGTGACAAGCGGCTCCAAGTACCCCAACTGTGACTACCGAACCAGCCAGAAAGAGAAGCACATCATCGTGGCCTGTGAGGGAAACCCATACGTACCCGTCCACTTTGATGCTTCAGTAGAGGTCTCCACCTGAGACCAGAGCAGTGAGATGCCCCACCTCAT